TAAAATTCTTTTAATTAACATATAATATTCTTTTAATTTTTTTTTACTATTTTGTTTATATTAATATATTATATTATTAAATATTTATTTTAATTATACTATAAAATATCGTAATTGACTAAATTTTTAAGATGTCCTTTTTGGTCTTTTACATTTTTATCAACTAGTTTTTCGTCAAACATGATTTGTTAATTAACTAACTTACAAACCATCAACTAACTTTTCAGATAGTTTAGGCATGACGTCCCTTAGCATGTTAAATGTGAGATTTTGAAAAGGGTTCCCAAATTTTTGAGGCCCAAATTTACATGTGTTTAGGGTCTTTTTTATCGACTTGTGTAAAACTATAGGTGAAATTATTTAGGTGAAACTATTATTTATTTAGTTTTAGGTTCAAATAATTAATGATTTAGGTTTAGTTTCAGATTGTTAATCGTTTTAGATTTAGCTCATTTTTATTCTTAACATATATTCTATGTCATCTCATTTATGCAACGTAATCAGAAGTTTTGTATGTAGTCGAGCCTCCAAAAAGATTGGAACGTCCCTGAGTTTAGGATCCTAATAGATGAGTCAATACGTGAGAAAGTTTGTGTTAGAAAGAAAATTATGATAAGAAGCATAAGAAAAGATCAAAATTTTTAATGATTTTTAATTATGTCCACCTATAAATTATGATTTAATTCTGGTCCAGGCTCCTAAGCCTGACCTTCAAGCCCTCTCTTAATGTTGTCCGGGCTCGGCTTGTCTGGAACCTCCCTTAGCTGTTTGTCTTCTTGTGCTGCTTTTCTAGTCTCGTGAGCTTCTCTACTCTCTTGGTTTTCTTGGTGCGGTCTAGGGTGTGCCTTTTTTGGGCCCCTCTTTCTACCCTTGTGGTTTCCCGATCTTGGCTTGGCTAGGCTAGGCCAGGCCCTTCCCTTGTGGTTGATTTCTTTTTTTTCTCTCTTTTTCTTTCTCTTCTCCTCTCTCTTCCCCTTTGGGGAGCCTTAGTTATTCTGGTGGATGTGATTTGTCCCCACCCAAACACGAATTTGGCTTGTTTTTAGTGTTTTTTTCTTGATTAGAGGGGGTTGTCCTTCCTCTATATCAAAAAATTATAATTTAAAAGAAAATTAATCTGTTAGGTCTTGGTCAACCTGAGATTCCCATGTCCTCGAATCCTAAACCCACCCAGCAAACGTAGATGAACCCATGTGCTCCACACCTAATTATTGTATATTTATTTGTTGACGTTGACTTGGTTTTCTGTATGTTAAAGTCATTTCCAGCACTTCAGCCATTCGTGCCCCCATAACCAAAAAGCTGCTAATTCAGCTTCATCTTCGATTCTTCATCTTCATCCACCCTTGAAAAACGCTTTGATAATCTCAGGTACACGATCAACTACTCATTTGATGTTCGTTCTGATTCAGTTTTTGGTAATTAATGCTATGACGACATTGCAGGGAAGTAAGCAGCTGGAGATATGAACTACACAAACACAAACTTAGCTCCTGCAACTTCACTCAATCCTTTAAATCACCATCAGCAGCAGAACCAAATTATGGTTCCAATTCCTCCACTGCCACCACTCCCACCCAATCTACCTTGCGCAGATCTAATTGAAGGTAATTTCTTCACTACTACCATGGGATTTTATTTTTATCACCCCAAATCACTCCTTTGTGCGTGATTTACCTCAATTAGCTTTTGATTTTTGACTACTGAAGTAGTTTATTTTCTAAAATTGAACCTTGATATAATGTACTTTGTGTTTTGATGGCAATATTTGACTTCATTCCTTGATCTCTCGTTCACTACCTTCAATCCCCTACAAGTTGTATGAGTGTAACGATTCATTACTCCTAATTTTGTAAGATGTGATGAGAAATGCAAATGGTTACAATGTCTTCAGTTGCATTTGTAGAGACCTGAATCTATTGTTTGGTTACTTTTTTTTGCTATTCACCATAATCCACCCTCTTTTCTTCAAATTATTATAAAAGCTCTCTATACCAGTGATCATGCTTTTAGGGGATGCTGGTAGAGTCAAAATGTTCGTTGTGAGAAGGTAGAAGTTGTGGTAACTTTGTAAGTTGCTGCAATTGCAAAACCACTAAGATCAAGAGGCAATCCACCTGCACTATCCTATAAAAACTAATAGGTAGGGCTGCAAACACACCTGTTACTACTACAGAAGGATATCTATTTGGAGTTCTGCTCCATTTTACATGGCTCAAAGGATAGCCATAGGGTTCTATCTGGGATTTCTGATGCATGTATCGAATATAATTGGCTAGATATGTATACATACATGTATATATATATATATATATATATATAAACACAAACACACACATGAAGAGTAATTTAGAGTGGTTAACCCCCCTCAAAATCAAACTATCATCTGTATAGTTTCCCTGTAAAAGTAATAATGGGCACTTGAAAACTAATCTGGGAGTGAATGTAATACTACCTTGCTTTTGAAATTACTTGAAGGAAGTAGAGAAGACTACATCAAGATTGGTGTTCCACTTTATGAAGCATCAATCAAAGGTCATTGGAAAGCTGCTAAAGCCATCCTTGACCAGAAACCAGAGCTGATACGTTTTGCTATCACCGAAAACTACGAAACGCCACTTCACATTGCAGCATCAGCAGAAAGCACCAAGTGTGTGGAAGAGTTTGTGGAAAATCTAGTGAATTTGATGGACAAGAACGATCTGGAATTACAAAATAAAACTTGCAACACCGCCCTCAGTTTAGCAGCTGCAGCGGGAAATGTCAAAACCGCCAAAATAATGGTGAAAAAGAACAGGGCCGTATTGGATATCCCGGGTAGTAATAGAATGATGCCACTCTATATGGCTGCTTTATTTGCAAAATCTGATATGGTGAAGTATCTCTATGAAAATTCTAAGAAAATGTCCGGCGATTACTGGACACCTGAGAATCGGGGCTGGGTTCTACAAAAATGTGTTGAAGCTGATATTTTTGGTAAGTCGTTACAAATTCTTGTTATTTTATCATGGTCTTTTTTCTTGCAATTTTCAGCAAGTCTTAACTCATAAAGTTTAGTCATTTACTTGGGTTCTCAAGCACATTTATACCATGGAAGACCCTTACTATCTGATTTAATTCTACTTATGTTTGTCAACGCTATATAGTCAAGTAGTAGCTCCTACTCAAATCGACATTCTTTAGTTGTTCTTATGGTTGCAAATATAGCTCGTATATGTGTACCATATATACTATAAAACTGATCTTACAATTTAGTGGTTGATTTTTATGCATTAGCTGCTACAATTTCTGTGTAGATGTTGCTCTAAATATAGTGAGTGATCTCCCTGAACTCACTGCCAAGAAGAGGTTACTCATGGAGATACTCTCAGTTTTGGCTCAAAAGACTCGAGCATTTAAAAGAATAAAGCCAAATTTTATGTCGAGAATCATAAAGTCAAGTAAGTACACAAACTCCTTAGTCTATTATCTTGCTTCATCCCGCATTCAACACATGAACACTTTTAAATTCCCTATTTGGATTTGCTTATAAATAGTCTCTTTTAAAATAGTGTATGATCACTGGACTACAGTGATCAACAACTGACAACCAACTTCATCCATCAATTTTACTCGTTGAATGAGGTATGCTGATCTACTTGGTTTTTTGAGTAGCCATGGATGTTTGGGCCAGCTTGTGCGCATCCCGACTAATCCCATAGGCCCCGGGAGAACAGCCAGGAAAATCCCTAGTGGCCTTTGGAGGGACTTGAACCGTTGACATGTGGGGAGGAGCCCAAAAGTCCCAAGCCTTATTGCCAACAAGCTACCCCTCGAAGTTGATCTACTTGTTTGTTGGTTTCATTTTGTGCAGTCTCTTATGTGAAGATAGGCCATGTTGAAAAAGAAAGTGACGCCTTGCAATTATTAAGAGTAATTTGGCAAAAGATTGCCATAATGCCTAAGAATGAGATCGATGACATAATCCGAGGGCCACCTGGAGAAGTTAGAGTGCCAGGAGGCAGAATAAAAGGGTACCCTTCCCGTGTACTCTTTCTTGCTGCAAAAATGGGCAACACAAGATTTATACTTGAGCTCATTCGGTCATATCCCGATATAATATGGAAGGTAGATGACAAAGGGCAAACTATATTTCACATAGCTGTCAAACGTCGTCACGCGAAGATTTATAACTTGTTGTACGAGATTGGCTCAATGAAAGATCTCATAACTCCACTTAAAGACAAAAAAGACAATAACATGTTGCATTTAGTTGCAAAGAGTGCAAAGCCAAAACGATTTCAAAATGTGTCGGGAGTTGCTCTACAAATGCAACGGGAGCTGTTATGGTTCAAGGTGCATCTTTCTGTTCAAGCTCATATTCTATTTGAGACTTAAATGGATTGACGAGTTGATGTGTGTATGTATCGCAGGAGGTCGAGCAGATGATCCCTCCTAATTATCGACAACGGAAGAACAAAGATGGGGAAATACCGCATGATTTGTTCACCAAGAAGCACGAAAGATTAGTCGCTCAAGGTGAGGAGTGGATGAAAAACACAGCTTCTCAATGCATGGTGGTTGCAACCCTCATATCTACGATAGTATTCGCAGCTGCTTTTACACTTCCGGGTGGATACAACCAAAACACCGGTGTTCCTTTTTTCCGCCAGAAACCAGCCCTGATTGTTTTCGTGATTTCAGATGCCATTTCGTTAATATTCTCTTCAACCTCGGTCCTCATGTTCCTATCGATCCTCACATCGCGCTATGCGGAACGTGATTTCTTGGAATCATTACCCAAAAAACTGATGTTTGGCCTTGCAACTCTCTTCCTCTCTATTTTCACCATGATGGTTGCATTTAGTGCCAGTTTCTTCGTACTTTACACCAAGAATTTGAAATGGGTGCCCATCATTGTTGCGGGTCTTGCTGCTATGCCGGTCATTCTATTTGCCATACTGCAATTTCGTCTTTTAGGTGACGTCTTTTACTCCACATATCGGTCTAGATATCTCTTTAAGCCCAAGAAACGTGTTCTTTATTTTTGAGTTTTCTGAGGATCACTGTGATATTATGTTCCAAGATGTATGTATGTGTAATATCATTTCATGCTGATAATCCACATGAATGTTATGCACCTCTTCTCTTTTTGAAGCTAAGATTACGATTACCAAACACTTATCCAGTAAGCATTTAGTAAAATTTGACACTATCATTTACTTACCGGATAAGATTTTAGTCCACCAAAACGGCATTGTATACAACAATTTACCTGATAAGCTCTTACGACGTCTTCCTCACTTACCGGGTAAGACTTTTGGTCCTTGTCTCGCTCTTACCGGATAAAATTATTGGTCCTTACCATATTCATTCGATAAGGTAATGTAACTTGGTGTTCAGTTACCCGAGTAAGTGTTTGGTAAACGGCCTCTAAGTAATTACGAACTTTTACTTGTATAAATGCCTATGAATTATTCGTGGGGATCAAATGAGAACCTACGTATAATTATGTATATAGAGAGAGAGTCTCCACTCTTAATCAGATACAAACTGCGAAAATATTACAAACCATAAAAATTAATCACCACCTTCTACTTAGTCTAACAAACATCTGATTTCATAAATGTATTGATTGTTTCTTAATATAAAGCGTTGTTCATACTTAATGAACTCTAATCATCTTCTATAAATATTTAAATTACAATAAATAAACATTCATCGTTTTCATAAAATATTGGTTTGTAGGTTTGTAACATTTAGAAGATTTGCATTTGATTTGGCGTCTATATATAGAGAGACGGGGGTTCAAACGAGAACATCTTTATTTTACGAGTATACAAGAACACTTGTGGGTCTTCAAATCAATTAATCATAATAAAAATTAAAATAAATAAAAATAAATTAGTATTTATCAACAATTTATAGTTATCTTATACTTGTCTTTATCCATTAAATAGTACTAGCATCATCGAAAACATCTTATGTTGATATCTTCATTCGTTGTTGATAATGATGTGATTTTGCTATGATAATGCTTTGATAAATAGAAATTTTTTGTGATTTTGCTGTGATAATGCTTTGATAAATAAAATTTTTTTTATGATAATGATGTGATTTTGCTGTGATAATGCTTTGATAAATAGAAAACTTTTTATGATGTGATTTTGGTGTGATAATGATGTGATAAATTGAAAAAAATACAATGATGATCTATCTGTTTATTGACTATGTCTGTTCATTATCACATTATTATCATAACATTATCACATTATTATCATAACATTATCACATCATTATCGATAGACGGAGACATCGACATAAGAGTCTTCGATGATTTCAGCAACATAAGAATCCATTTTGATAACTGAAAATGTTACATGATAAGATAAACAATGATCATTTCTCTTACCAATAAGCGCTTGATAAATGACCTCTCAGTTCCTCATGCCAAATAGAAGAGAACATATTCGACAAAATTCACCAAGCATTTGTTAGACGTGCACAAAAACTGAACCAACTCAAACTACAGACATTGGGTTGAGTGGTTGTTTTGTTCGTTTTGAAGTATTTTTTTTATAATAAAAGTAATACCATCTTAATAATCAAATGAGTTTTATTGAAAAAATGGAATAACCAAATTGTATAGATGACCATTAAATATTGTCTTTTAAGAGATGGAGATTTGAGCTTATATATTGTTTCTCTTCAATATTTAAAAATCTTTGCTGTCAATTGGAATGAATCCTTAAGCTTTAAAGGATTGTTTGAGAGTTATTGAATGGTTTGATGTAAAATAATTAAGTGGTTAGAATGATTAATAGACTCTTGCAAAATGAAATATAATTGTTTGGTAATTATTCATAATTAAATTAGGGTACTGGATGGTTAAGGTAACCCCGAGATACAAAATCATTCAGAGGATTTTTAAACCATTAAGAGACAATTTTTTTTTGCCAACAAGATTTATCTCTTAACAATTCAGATGTTGCTTCTTAATGAAACTATTAAAAAGTAAACAAACAAGCCCTAAGTATGATCAAATATGGATCATGTAGTATAAAAAATCATCATGCATTAGGAGAAATGATGATGGAACAAAAATAAAACAATGGATTAAAACAACAAAAATATCAAAGATACAATCATAAAAATAAAAACAAACAGTCTGACTAATTCAAATTTCAGATTTCAGCACCACCTCTGAAAAATCAAAAGTGAAATCAGACTTCAGCATCTCTTAGAAAACAAACTCCACACTTCCATAGATTTGTAATTAAGATTTTCTTTTTCGTATATAAATACTAGAAGAGTACTCGCGCAATGCAGCGAGACAAATCTCGATTTTAATGTTCTATTTTATTATTTGTCTCTGTCGATGTTATAATACGATTTTATGTGTTTTTAAGAAAATCAATAATAATTTTATTTTTGAATAAAATATAAATTCGAAGATATCATAAAAATTTGAAAAAAAATATATCAATGTTAATATTAAATCAACTATTTAAAAGTTTTCATTTTTTTTATGTAATTTCTTTAATTTTTTTTATTATAATTTAACTAGAAGAGTACTCGCGCAATGCAGTGAGACACATCTCGATTTTAATGTTCTATTTTATTATTTGTCTCTGTCAATGTTATAATACGATTTTATGTGTTTTTAAGAAATTAATAATGATTTTATTTTTGAATAAAATATAAATTTAAAGATATTATAAAATTTTGAAAAAAAAATATATTAATGTTATTATCAAATCAA